TAATCTATATTTTCTTTTGAGACAGGGTCATGCTAACTTGCTCAATAGCCTAGGCTGGGCTTGAACTTGCGACCCTCCTGCATCAGCCTCCGGGAGTGTTGGGATCACAGGTGTGCACCACCATGCTCAGCTTACCAGGTTTTCTTAACTGCCTTGCTGCAGCCAGCAGCGGTGCAGGAAGCTGGAGACTGGAGGATTTCTGGTGCTTGCCATGACCTTGGGGGCGCAGCTGGTGGTGACATCTGCACCTGCTTCTCAGGGCAGGTGAGGCTGGAGGAGGACCTGACACAGGTGGGAGAGGCCCAGAGAGCTCTCCGTCCCGTGCCTTCAATGCACTCGAAGCCAATTTTCCTGAAGGTCATCCCGCGGGCCACAGCTGAGAAGCCTTGGCCCACCCTGCCCTTTGCCACATAGGTGTCACCCACAGGGGTCGCACAGCAACAGGTGGGGTGGCTCTGGCCCTTCCCAGGCTCCTCAGAGGCCATGGGAGGTTGTTCTTTCTCAGGGGCTGAGCTTCCGTGGTCACTGAGTGGTGCTGGGGGCATGGTGTCCTGCCTGCCCAGGACAATTTCGTTTTCAGGTGGGTTCCCCCGGGTGCTTAGAGTAGACTGGGGCAGCTGCTCGAGGTCTCAGACTCGGTCAGTGCTACTAGCTGCCATTAAAAAAACAAAACAAAACTTTTATTATTTATTTATTTGGTATAGAGTTCTGCTAGGCAGCTCGGACTCATAGTGATCCTCCTGTCTCAGCCTCCCCAGTGTTGGATTACAGGCATGTGCCACTGCACCTGGTTTCGTGGCCAGCACAGTGCACCTAGTGTGGTACTGGGGATTGAACTTGGGTCTTTGTACGTACCAGGCAGGCGCTTAGACCACCAAGCTATCTCCCCAGCCTGCTGCCATTTTTTTATTTCTTTAGTTTTTGCTTTTTTCTTTTTGAGACAGAGACTCACTGTGTAGCCCAGGTTGTCCTTGAACTCAAGGCGAGCCTCCTGCCTCAGCCTCCCAGGGGCTGGGATGACAGGTATATGCCACAATACATCACTTTTGCGGCCGTTGCTGGAGTGCTCGGTGGAACCAGGTGCCAGATGCTTCCCACGTGAGCCACAGACTTGGCTTTGGCCCCACGCACAGAGGGCTGTGTTGCCTGCATCTCACCTGAAGAAACTACAGAGCTGGAAATAGCTGGCCTTAGGTCATGGAGGCTGGCGGGGTTTCCCAGGCACACCGTCACCCATGCACACCCTGCACTCTGCTGCCTCAGGGGCTGAGCTAGCTTCGGGGCCTCAGGACAACTCTCTTGCACAGGCATCCATTTCTGTCCACACTGGGGCACAGAGGTAAGCAAGTGCCGCAGTCCACTGAGGCCTGAGCCCCATCTTGCTGTGCACTCCCTCTCCGGGCAACCATGTCTTCATGTCTGAAAGGGTGAGAAGAGCATTTTCCTCGAAGGGAAGTAAGACGGATCTTTCTCCTCATCTGCGGTGGTGGGGTTGGATCAAGTCTCCACAGAGCCGCCAACTCTGAGCCTTTGCATCTAGGCTTTTGTTCTCATCTACGTTGCTGGGAGGGTGCCTGAGGCGGAGACAGTCATCTGGGCGCGGTGGCCCAGCCCTCATGCCTGCACTCTGGAAGGTGGGAGGACTGTAGATTCAGCCTGGCTTGAGCCATTTAGTGGTTTAACAAGATCCTGTCTCAAAATAAAAACAATAAAATGAGGGCTGGGGATGTAGCTCAGTGAAAAGGCCCTGGGTTCAATTCCCAGTAACAGGAGAGGGGAGGGGAGGGAAATAAAATAAAATAAATCAGTGGTCCATTGGGTAGGGAGCTACTTCCTGCTCACTCACCTCTGTGTATGCTGGTGAAAT